CCAGCTACTCGGGAGGCTGAGGCAGAAGGATCGCTTGAGCCCAGGAGTTTGAGGTTGCTGTGAGCTAGGCTGATGCCACGGCACTCTAGCCCAGGCAACACAGCGAGACTCTGTCTCAAAAAAAAAAAAAAAAAGATCGATTACCCCTTTAATGACAGAGCACGTTATTATAATAGCTCTTTCCCCCTTTCCTGAGGCCTCCTATCTCCATTGACTCCAAACATTCGATAAACGGTTTCCCAACGCCTAGAGTTTGGCTCAGTGGTGTGGAAGAAGTTGAATCTGTTCCCATTTTAGATTTCTGTGCCAACTAAGGCAGCTACCATTTGTCTAGCTGGCTGGAGAATGGGCTATTTTTTAACTGTGGGGTTTGGAAACTGGTTAGGATACCCTGGAGGAGACAAAGCAGAGGCCCGCCTGCAGATACCTCTGACTTTATGGCTAAATTTACTTTAGGCTATGGCGCTGTGAGGAAGATAGCAAAGACCCATGGCAGTATTCTAAGAGAAAAAAGGGAGCTTAAACTGTGTATGTTCCATTAAATAAAATTAGTGGGAGGCCATTTTTTTGGACAGAACTCCTGCATTAAACCCCAAAAGGCCAGACCAAACGAGAATGGAGTCACTTGTGCTAGGTACCGTGTAATCAAAATGAACTTTAAAATGGGCCGGTTTTCAAAAAAACCTGGAAGATTCACAGTAACCAGTCAGAAGGGGCCCAGTCAACCCGAGCTGGCATAAGAACGTCCCCTCTGCTTTAACCCATACAAGTATACTAACTTTGAGACAACCAATTCACTTTTTGTTCCTTGCTTCTGCTTTCTTCTCCCTTTTTCTGCCTATAAAGCCCACCCCTATGCTCAGCTTGGACACTGAATTTCTATTGCATAGATAGGATGCTACCTGGTTTATGAATCAATAATAAAAGCCAATTAGATCATTAAACTCAATTTGTTGAAATTTTTTGGACAGTTCTAAGAAGCTTCCAGATTTGTCACATATCTAAATTTAATCACAACTGATAATCACAACAGATAACCTGTTTTGTATGCCAAGAATCACTATCCCATCCCCACATTTAAAATTAACACACTTTTCTGGCTTGAAATATTTTTTTTTTTTGAGACAGAGTCTCACTCTCTTGCTTGGGCTAGAGTGCTGTGGCGTCAGCCTAGCTCACAGCAACCTCAAACTCCTGGGCTCAAGTGATCCTCTTGCCTCAGCCTCCCAAGTAGCTGGTACTACAGGTGGACACCACCATGACTGGCTAATTTTTTCTATTTTTAGTAGAGATGGGGTCTCAAACTCCTGACCTCAAGTGATCCTCCTGCCTCGGCCTCCCAGAGTGCTAGGATTACATGCGTGAGCCACCGGACCCAGCCTTGAAGTATTCTTATAAGATTTTTTGGGCTTATCTTTCTTTGAGAATCTGATCAAAGCTATGGGGTCTCCCTTTCCCCATGGAAAATGGATACACACTTACATACAATTTTGCAAAATTTTTAAAAGTTCATGGACACCCTGAAACAAACCCATGGAACCCCAGTTAGAAACAACTACCATTAATGAATTATTCCTAATCCCTTAAATTAACCTTTATAGAAACTTACAATCATTTTTTGATTTAAAAATATGGCCCATCTCTGCTTTATTAAACCATATTCTAAATGTAATTCTACATTTCCTTGATGATTAGGGATTATTACGAACAATCACTGCAATGGACTAATCCAGAAAACAGAGACATAAGCAACGCCCTTAAGGAGTTCTAGAAAAGTGCTAGGTTCAGATTTACAAGGATAATTTTACTTACTGATTCTGTAGCCCTGGCCATCTCCTCCCTCATGCAGTTCTTGCGTGTCAATTCTGACAGACTTTTTCTAATTCTGTTCCAGTAATAAACCAGAAAAACAAGCTTGTTAAGTAACTGTACCCTAATGCTGGTAAGTCAATGGGCTCGGCGTCGCCCGGGAGCAGTGGTGCTGCAAAGCAACAGGCGGCAGAGTCTCCATAGCACAGGGGCCTCTAGGTACTCACTTTTTTTTTTTTTTTTGAGACAGAGTTTCACTGTCTTGCCTAGGCTAGAGTGAGGCTCACAGCAACCTTAAACTCCTCGGCTCAAGCGATCCTCCTGCCTCAGCCTCCCGGGTAGCTGGGACTATAGGCACACGCCACCGTGCCTGGCTAATTTTTTCTGTTTTTAGTTGTTTGGCTAATTTCTTTCTATTTTTAGTAAAGACAGGGTCTCACTCTTGCTCAGGCTGGTCTCGAACTCCTAAGCTCAAGCAATCCGCCCGTCTCGGCCTCCCAGAGTGCTAGGATTACAGGCGTGAGCCACTGCGCCCCGCCTCTGTACACTTACTCTTAAGGTGTGGCGCTGCCCAGGCTGCTTGAAGCTGCCAGCAGGATGCAGCGGGACTGTTTGTAGAGAAGGCTTTTATCTCTGTAAGAGAAAGTTCTAGTCATCAACTTTAGTTAACTCTTAGGTTATGCAAAAGAAAACTCATCTTTTTATCCTTTGTATTGTAATCTGTTAATGAATTACATAAAATAGACCTAACTCATACTAAATATGAATATATGTTTAATACATAAAACATTGTTTTAGTAGTAAAATTTTACTGTAGGAGAATGATATTTCTTGCTCCTTTGATTTTAGAAGAGATCTGTTTGCATCCTGATAGGACTCACAAGGGTACCAAATACCCAGGGCAGAAATGAGGTATGGAAGTGTCACATCTTACACAATATAAACGGCCAGGATTGGGCCCTTTGGGGCTCAAATCCAAGAATTTTGTAAGCTTGTGAACTGCCACTGTGACTCTAAGGCAGCAGAGGTCAAGGGCCTAGGAACAGGATTAATGAAGTTATTTTTTTTTTCTTTTCTGCTAATATGGTTGAACAGTGTGAATTCACTATACTTTTATAGGTACATTTCAAGTGCATTTCAGCAGAAAGCAAAACTGCTTCAGAGATAGTGAATTGGTTTCAATTAGTTGCAAAAACAAAAGTCTTTTTCAGGGTCTTGTTATTAGAACCTGTAATTGCTGATTCTATGGGGAAAAAAATCAGCTTATACTAGGAATTTAAATGAGATGATCTCTTATGTCTTCAAATTCATTAAGATATTTAATAAACACAGGGTCTCTCCAATTCTAAGCTTAAAATATATGTGAAATATAGGATTCAAAGGATGTGATATCAGCATGAAAGAGTGCCTAGCACACAGAAAGCACTAAGTAAGCATTTGCATATTACTAG